AATTGTTTGTTGCTCTGTTTCCTGCTGCTGTGTAAATCCAAGCCATCATCAATCTAAAGACAATGCGATGACCTGACATCACAATCTCATTTATCTTCATCTGTCCTTCACATTCTGTCATTCTTATGTAAAATGGACTCTAAAGGATGCAACTCCTCTTCACTCATCTAAAAGCTGAAAGAGGAGGGTAAGTGGGTAAAAGGTCTATGATGGCTTCAGTATACCAATGGAGACTCCAAGCAATCACTTCACTTGGCCCAGAGAGCTACGTTGCAGCTAATGTGCTTAACATGTAAACATGACATAGCAGGAAGTAGGATAATGTGATTCTTGAGCTATATGTCTCACTTCCCTTGCTGAATCTCCCAGCATCAGTTTCCCCAGGCTATATGAAACTGAAATATTGTCCAAAAAAGATACTATAAATGCACAATATATGGGACATAGAATGATATCAATCTCACTTCTCTGACAGTCCAAGAATTCTCTCCATTCCAATATACTAACTTAAGGTCATCATGATACAGAGGTTGTTAAGTCAACAGGCAACAGGACTGTAAAGTATGTGAACTAATTTACATGGCCAAACACCTTAATTAAATGTACCCAAGTTAGACTAACTGCATCATATCTTTCATATTAGAACAATCCTTTTTCTTTCCAGATTTACATCAAAAACAAAATCTCTACCTTTCAGCATCAGCACAGGAAATTTACTTTAATTCTCCTGTTGCCTATTCTCTTCCTACAACTGTTTTTCCCAGACAAGACAGGTGGTGAAAACTACGTCTATTCATTTCAAAACAGGAAGTTGTTCTTTGTTAAATGATCTCTTAAGACTGCTTTGTTTCTAACAACACATTCAGGGCACATTTTGAATACCATATTCTAATCACACATGTGCTAAAACCTTTCTTTTTTCAATAGTACTATTAAACAATACACAAATGATAGTTCATAAAAAATATAGAAAATACACTTGTGATATAGCTTATATCATCTGAGTAATGAAAGAAGTACAGTTAATGAAAAATTCATACTAAATATGAATATGGAATTCTACCTGAAATAGAAAATTATTAAAACACTTTTACAAAAATCAGATTATTTAAAGTATTGTCTTTTGCACAACTATGGAACATATGCAGACCATTTAGATGATGGTTCAATGTACTAAATTAGAGTTGCACTTCAAAGCACAGAGTGTATCACTTGATGATTTTGAAGCCATTGTTTTATCACAAAATATGTTTTCCACTTACCAATTTTGCTTTGCTGCCAGTCATAATTATATAATTTCATCTATTACAAATTAGATACTACAGATTTTGAAAAATTTGAGTAGTAAAGGCCTTTAGATCCCTCTGACCTAGAAAATTAAGTTTCAGCATATAATTACAAACACTCTTAATATCTTAATTTAAATGTGTTCATCTAAGATTAGCTTGGTAAAAAAGTTGTATCTCTAAATTTTAAAAAATGAATCAGAGTATATACGTATGTGTGTGTATATGATGCATGCATATACACAAACAAGCATACGTTTAAGTACACATATATACATGTATTTGTTTGTATATGTTTGCACTTCTCTGATGCATCCTGAAGCAAAGGTTAATTAGTCAAAAGGCATTACCAGTGTGTAACAATACTGGTACTTAAAACACATATTTTCAACAATTAGGTGATTTTAGAACCAAGATGTTAAAGGTAATATTTTATAAAAGATCAAAAACATGACAAGAATTTTGGTAAGTTATTTCTCAAACTTTAATTTCTCAAAGTCTGTGATACTGAAGATTGCCACTTATGAGTTGCCATAATAAAACAGAACATCTGTGTCCAAAGGCAAATATTATTAGCAAGCAATAAACACATTAAAAACAATGCAAAAAGAAATGTATAAAAGAACCACTTCCCTCCCTTCAATCTCCCACCTTTAGAGACAAGTTCTGCCCAAAGTGGTTAAGCTTTTTCTCCAAGAGAGCAAAGATATCCACAGACAAAAGTATCCCTAAAAGAATGGAAGTCATCTACCATTACCTCTGGGGTTTTGACATATTCTAAGATGAAGGAGAATAAAGGTGCAAAACCTTAGAGTGACACAAGATAACTTATAATCTCTAGGTTTTTCTTAAAAACTTCTTTAGGTCTTTTCTACCAGGTGGAGGTAAAAAATAGGATAAATTTCACCTTAATGCAAAACACAAGAGGTTGAGGTTCAATCTAGGTCTTATAGAGCAAAAAGTTAGCGAAAGAGATGACGTCAACAATTCCACTGTATTAAAACAATAGGCTTACGGTTATACTTATAAAGAACATGAAAAATATATCCTTTAAATAAAGGAGTTTAAATTCATTTATCCATTTCTATTTTAAGAGAGATTATATGTATAATTGAAGAAAGATATATCTGGACAAGGCAAGGCACAGAAATACTCCATCTGAAGAAGACAGACTCCACAGAAAAGGATATTTCCAAGGAGCAGGTTTGTACCCAATCAAATGAATGGCAAAGTTGGCCTCTGTGAAAGAAGTTATTCTTAGTGCCCAGAAGAGAACTCACATAGGGGCTGGAGAAGCTGAAGAGTACTGTGGCAGGAAGAATTCTAGCTCAGTCAAGATGCTGTTGTGAAGGGCTTTGCAAATGTAAAAAGGTCCTGAACCAGCTGACTAGAAGGTGAAGAGACTTTCCTTGATGGATCTAACTTGATCAGGTGCAACTTAAGAAGACACTAACTAGGCTTTTTCTGGCAATGGAAATTTAAAGCATAAGATGGATAAAATATGATGGAAATTCTCCATTGCTATTTTGGGACAATGGAAGGGGCCATGCAGGTCTCAAGGGGCTGAGAGTGGTTCCTAGGTGACAGCTAGAAAGGAGATTTAGTTCTTAGGTCTGCAATCACAAGAATTGAATTCAGCCACAATTAAGTGAGCTTAGAAGAGGAATACCAACTAAGGACAAGGACATAGTTGGCCAACAACTTGCTGAGTTCCTGAGCAGACAACTCTATCATGCCATGCCCAGATTTTGACCTACCTAGAGAAATAGTAATAAATATTGTGTGAGCTGTTAAATTTGAGGTAACTTGTTACACAGTAAGACAAACTTAACACATGCACTAATCAAGCTAAATCATATAGCTTGATTTAGAAGAACCCAAGAAGTTTACAATAAGCCCCAAATCCTACTTTAAGAAATGTGTCTAACATCAATGACACACAACATTAAAATACCAAAGAGGGCCATTAGATTAGACACTACAGGGAAAGAAATCTAAGAAATTTTCAAGTTCATTGGCCATAGTAACTAGAAGACAAAGATCACAAAATACAATATGTATTTACCAGGAAAAAGATGATTCTTCTAGATTCACTGAAACCAAAAGGTGGGATTAGGTCATCTTTAGGTCTCTTTTAGCACTTTCTATAATTCTTGTTAAGATATAGTCCTATCTTTTTTAACAGACATGAGAGATGCCTGGGTACAAACCCAGATCCTACAGATGTTCATAACTCAACCAGCTTCTTATAAAACACAGAATCAGAAAGGGAACAATTTATTAAGGTTCAAAGCTTTCTCATCTGCATTCAACCAAGGGACTTTATAACAGAGCAAAATACCAAATTGAACAAAAGCAAGGCTTTCTTCCCATATAAAACCTACCTTCGTACTTTCAAAAAGATGATTTTTTAAAAAAATCCCATATTTAAAACTGAAAGTCTGTATATATGTGCACAAGGAGGAAAAAGTTTATAAGGCCATGTACATGAGGCAATAACATTAACAAAAGCTGAGAAACTGGTAGATGCCCTGGGAGTAAATTTTTACTCTCAATTTAGATCCTTGTTAAAAAATTATACACTAAGTATAAATTAGGCACTTAAAATTTAAGTGAACTCATTTGTTAAAACATGACTTGGGGGAAAAACAGTGGTAGCAATCAGTTCAGTTCAGTCGCTCAGTCATTTCCGATTCTTTGCGACCCCATGAACCGCAGCACACTAGGCCTCCCTGTCCATCACCAACTCCCGGAGTTTACCCAAATTCATGTCCACTGAGTTGGTGATGGCATCAAACCATTTCATCCTCTGTCGTCCCCTTCACCTCCTGCCCTCAATCCTTCCCAGCATCAGGGTCTTTTCAAATGAGTCAGCTCTTCACATCAGCTGCTGCTGCTGCTAAGTCATTTCAGTTGTGTCCAACTCTCTGCGACCCCATAGACGGCAGCCCACCAGGCTCTGCTGTCCCTGGGATTTTCCAGGCAAGAACACTGGAGTGGGTTAACATTTCCTTGTCCAATGCATGAAAGTGAAAACTGAAAGTGAAGTCGCTTAGTCATGTCCGACTCTTTGCAACTCCATGGACTGCAGCCTACCAGGCTACGCAGTCCATGGGATTTTCCAGGCAAGAGTACTGGAGTGGGTTGCCATTGCCTTCTCCATCACATCAGCTATATAGTATTGATTTTGCACCTATATAGCTTAATTTATTGGTATAGTCTAAGTAACTTCTTAAGAGAAATAAAACCCATTATCATTTTGATTCTAATTACTCTGAGAGCAATTGCTAGGTCAGGAGTTCTAGAAAACTGTTGAAAATAACAAGTCTAACTAGTTAGTGAATATCCAGAATTTTATCTTAATATGAATGAAAATATTAAAAAAAACTTCTCAAAATAAATCAGATGAAACACAAAACGAATTTCAGAACTTCAATACAACAGGGAACTATACTGAGAGTTTAATGCAACAATGACGGAGGGGAAACTCAAGGGATAATAAAATAGTTTCATTAATACCAAACCATAAGTAATAAAAACATAAACAAAACTTTTTCTCTGTTCTCTTCATTTCCTTTAGTTTAAGATCTTTTAGTATCCTCTAAATGACAAACTGATTTAAAAAGCAGTTTGACAGAAAAAAAAAAAGAATCTAATATAATCAAATGATCCAGTTCTTGATTATACAATGTACACACTGCCTTCTTTCCTTACCTTGTCTATCCTATCTGGACGATTGGTAGCTGCCAAGATTGTCACGTTCTTTAACTGTTCAATGCCATCCATTTCCGTCAAGAGCTGAGCCAAGACACGATCAGCTACATTCCCAGCACCTGAAGAACTGATTTTTTAAAATGCAGTTTTAAAAATCTGTTTACCTATTCCCAAATACTCGACTATTTTAAAAAGACTGTATATTCTGCACCAAGAAACATTATGTCTTTTTCAAATTATAAAACGTATGCTTCAGAATTCATTACTTGTTGAATTATCATATTCAAAAACTAACTAGATTGAAATAATTTCTTTTCCTCCATCATCAATCATGATTATTTTCTCCCCAATAATGAAATGCTAAAAAGCATCAAATATAAAAGATCTGGGAAGATATAATATTATTTTTTAAAGGTTCATCAAATACATAATTACTTAACTTAATTGATATTTACATTTTATATGGCAATTAAACTGACAAGAATTGGGAATAAACAAATGAGTAAGATACAGATTCAATCTCACATGAAGTTCAGAGCTTACATGAGACAGAAAACTCCTTACAAATGTATAACAAATGGGGTATTTTTGACCTATCTTGATATTTTCAAAAATATTAAGAGTAAATTTAAACATATCAGCAGATAAGGAGTCACCACAATACACATATCTGGAGAGATAGGCAAAAAAGAGCATTTTATTTTGTTGCTTTTGTTCATGTCCTAGGTCAATTATAAAGCTACTCCTGGACAAACTATACTTTAATCTCATTTCCTTTGATCACAAAAAAATTACTGAATATCTAGTCTTAAGAAGTAAACCCAACAGGTCTTAATAGTGAACAAAATCCTGATATTACACAATCAAGGCCTCAAAATAACAATTCTCATTAGCACTAGCTGGAATTTACTAAAATCTGTTCAGAACTGAGAAATACACAATAAACCTCTGGGTGGACAATTATAGAGTGAAACAACACTGTAAACGTATTAAATGTATAAATTCAATCAGATGCTGTTCAGAGTGGGCGAGGAGGTGAACAGGGAAAGAGGGTAGAAAACCACACTCCATACTCTTATCTTAGCATGACAGTAAGTACACCTTAGTGTTTGTACAATCATCACATAATATATTTAGTAATAAAGTAATCAGGATCTCTAAACAGAAGAGTTTAGATCTCAGCATGCATTACAAGTTCCAAAACTTGACACACAGGAGAACAGCCTCTGATTCACACTAATCAAACACATGAAGTTGTTATATAAATCATTACTATCAATTAAATTAAATGGTTGGTTCTTCCAGGTTATTATATAAATTACACTGTCAATTTATTAAATGGTCTTTCCCAATGCCAAAAAAGTTTGTGAGCAAGCAAAGAGAATCTGAGAAGCCAGTGAGATTTGTTTTAGTCAGCACTAATTCCTGCAAGTAAACAATTGGCAGGTGTATGAATTTGCTGACCTGATTCTACTTAAGAATAAACTTAGACCATTTTGAATAAATAGATTACCTATCCTTCCAAAAATGCTCCATGATAAAACTTTTCCAAGTGTTAGATAGGAACATTGCTAGCAAAAGCTCTAGGGCTCCTTCATGATGACTACAAGCATATAAGTATTTAAGAATGCCAACTGATTACATCTGAGGCCTATAATTGTATCTACTTTGTAGTACCACTTGTTGTGGTACTACAAGGTGCTATGGAAGGTCACAGGATCAGGTCTTGGGAGGGTCAAGGTGAGCTGTCCAGAGGAAATGGTTTCTAACCTACAACCTAAAAAAAATGAGTGGGGACCAGACAGTCAAAAAATAGAGGGAAGAGAGAGAACACTGAAAATGGAAACCACTTCAGAATAGCACAGCATAGCAGTAATGTAAAAATGTAAAAGATCAGCAGAGAAAGATAAACCAAGGGTGTATGACAAAGGCTTTATTATCCAAATTACTGAGTTTGGATTTTAACCTGAAGTGGACAGGAAGTTTCAAGTAGAAACATGACAAGATCAGATTTATGTTTCTGAGGACCACAGTGGCCACAATATAGAAAACAGGTTACAACTGAGCAGTGAAAGTCGCTTAGTGGTGTCTGACTCTTTGCGGACTCTATATACTATATAGTATATACTATATATACTATGTACTATATAGTCCATGGAATTCTCTAGGCCAGAACACTGGAGTGGGTAGCCTATCCCTTCTCCAGTGGATCTTCCTGACCGTGGAATCAAACCAGGGTCTCCTGAATTGCAGGCAGATTCTTTACCAACTGATCTATCAGGGTAGTCCCAACTGGGCAGTAATGAGTAAGAATTTTAGAAGTCTTAACTCCCTCCTAACAAGTAAAAAGCTCTATAAATTGAAAAATTCCCTCCTAACAAGTAAAAAGCTCTATAAATTGAAAAATTAACAATTCTTTTTAGATCCCTCAGAAATGTGAGACCTGGGTATCCTAATCTTTTCAGGCTGCTATAACAAAATACCACAGACTAGGTGGTTTATAAACAACAGAATTGCATTTATCACATTCTCGAGGCTGGTAAATATAAGATCAAGAGGCCGCATGGTCAGGTGAGAACTCCTCCTCTGGCTGATACTGACACCTTCTCACTGTGTGCTCACTTACCACTACACTACTAAAGGCCTACTTGTCACAGTTCCTTTTACCCAGTAAACCATGCCTATCAAGAGAAAAACTATAAGGCAGAATAAAAGGCAAACCAACACAGCTAGAAAGAAACTGAGCTAGCATCAGAACCAGAGAATTAGCAAGAATGCTGGAATTATCAGACCAGTAATTTTTTAAAACTATGACTAATATGTTAAGGGCTCTAGTGGACAAAGTAGACGACATGCAATAAAAGGGCAACATAAGCAGAGAAATGGAAATTCTAAGGCTCAAAGAGAAATGCTGAGATATAACACTGTAACAGGAAAAAGGAATTCCCTTTTTGGGTTCATTGGTAGATTACACAGGGCTGAGGAAATAATCTTTGTTAAAGTCAACAGAAACATTCAAAATGGAAAAGCAAAGAGAAAACCAGACTAAAGAAAACAGTGAGGAAAAAAAAAAAACACAACAGAAAAGAATATCCAAGAACTGTGGACAACAAAATATGTAATATACGTGTGTCTAAAATACAAAAAAGAGAATACAGAGTAGAACATATTTGAAGCCATAATGACTGAGAATTTCCCCCAAATTAATGTCTGACACCAAAATCCAAGATCAAGGAATATAAAAAATCAATAATGCTCTGAATATTCCAGCTGACCACTACAGGATATCTATGCTGTCATAGTGTGGTCAATACTCAGTTTGACCCTAATAGTAAATAAATTACTTTAGGTTAACAACATACCCTATAAAAGCAGACAGACATATATTAATATAATGAGTTATCTTCCCCAGCTGTCCGAGAGCTGTGTAAGCTACATGTGCTCTGAATAACTGCAGCTTTGTATAAACTGTTAATACAGAGAATGACATAAAAGTATGTATTTTTTCATTTTGCCATGATTTCCCAGTAAAAATTCCAAGCTAACATAGGCATTACATTATGTTTGTATAGTTTTGCTCATTACACTTCTATAGTTTTGACTCAATTTACCCTCTACAAAAAGCAATTTTTTGAAGGGAATTTTTCACAATCTTGGCCCTCCCTATGCTGCTGTTATAAACATAATCCAATAAAAGGAAAATAAGGAAAATTAACACATGTAAGTTCAAACATTTTTCTGACAACAAGCTAAAAACTGAAGCAGAAAAAATGCTTATATACATGTGTCATTTTCTTAAGTGCCATAGATCTAGAAATGTTGACAAGGAAAACTAAAATTTTACAGTGATTGTAATAAATGATTATATAATATAAAGTTTTACAAATGACTCCAGTAAAATCTGCACTGATCAGTACTTATTGGGAAGGGTGCTTTGAATTTGGGAAAGAGCTAAGATATGATAGTGAATCTTCCCTCGTAGCTCAGTTGGTAAAAAATCTGCCTGCAATGTAGGAGACCTGGGTTTGATCCCTGGGTTGGGAAGATCTCCTGAAGAAAATGGCAACCCACTCCAGTATTCTTGCCTGGAGAATCCCATGGACAGAGGAGTCTGGCAGGCTACAGTCCATGTGGTCGCAAGAGTTGGACACGACTTAACAACTAAACCACGATGATACTCAGTAAGCTTGGGATCAATTGCCAGCTTTACCACTTTTCCTTTTGTGTAATGTTGTATAAGAGATACTTCTCTGAGCCTCAGTTGTTTCAGTCAAACATGGAAAGACCCATAGCATTCTCAAAATTAAATAAAATGTATAAAAGATCTAGCGTAATAGTTAGCACAAAGAAAGGATCAATAGATAATTATAATAATAATTCTTATAACTATTATTACCACTGTACCTTGGTTACTGGCAATGTGTATAACCTTTTACAAGTTATTTTAACCAATTAAACTGAAAAAGGAATGTGTGGCACATAATACTGAAATAAAACATGAACATGATGTATGATTAAAGATCTTCAGAAGTTAAAACAGGTCAGCAGATACATATTGTCAGTTCCCTACTTAGCTTTACTTAAAACATGGTAGAAAGTATCAAACTTCCTTAAACTTTTCCATGAAAACCACCAACATAATGCTAAGGTAAAAAACTCAACTGCTTTTCGGCCTTTTGGCTAAGATTAAGTTTAAGATAAAAACTACTCCTCTTACTTAAGCCCTTCATAACGATGCCCAAAACAGTGAGCCTAATAAATAAACTACTAAGAAACACTTTGTTTATACAAGCTGTATTAGAAGGAAATTACTATACACTGGTAATGAGACTTCTTTACATTTTAGTCTTAACTATATACTAGCTGTTCAAATGCAGTGAGTTTGGCTCCTCAGAGTCCTCAAGGCACAATATATTTTGAATAGCAAAAATTTCCAGATAAGGAGATCTTTATACTGCTCAGATATTTTAAAATGACTTTTTTTAAAATGGCAAACCTTCTAAAATGGAAAAAAACCAATATACTGTAAGACTGCTCAGATGTAGAATTGCTTGGCTCAAGAAACTGCATGAAAAGAAAATCTCCACGTCCTTGGTTTCTTAGATCTATACCAAAAGAAGTTCTCGT